TATGAGATTCGCTATCTCCCCACGCGCACTGTCTATGGGCACGCGCGCCCCTTGACGCCTCTCCGCTTGTGGCCGCCCTGGGTGCTTGCTTAGTTTGCCTTAAGGATAATACTAATATAGACGAGTGTGTCTTAGTTATCACAAAGCCTCTCTTTTGAAATCGCTCCTGGCGCAACCTACGATTTTTACTTTTGCTGGTCCACTACATTACCATAGTTTCCACCAACGTTTTTAAATTCAGTCGTTTTGATACTTGCTCTTCAACTCTTATCGTCACATGCCTACATCATGTTGTTGTTTACCGAAACCAGATACAAGCCTCATTAAATTATGTTTAATGAATCGTACCTACCTACAGTAAGACGGTTGCAAAGTCCGCAACGTTCAAGGGCGTAAACTATCAAGTTACAGGAACAGCAAAATGTAGTCTAGTCTTGTCATTTGATACAAGACATAATGGAGGACACGAATTTATTGTTTCCGTTAGCTTCGTAAAATAGGACATTTAGTGCTACTCCTGTTTACTATTTTATTGCTTGAAATAAAAGCTGGAAGGAATATTTTATAGCTGCCGAACCGAGCCCGAAGATTAAAAAAAAATTGTTATTTTATTTGCTACAAATCACAAGTGCAAGATTATATAAGAATCCAAATAATACTCTAAACGTTTGCGTAAATCTCTGACATAACACACTTATATTAACACGAAAAGCAAACTATAATTATGGTCACACATGCTACTATCTAATCAGTGGACTTTGTTCGTGAAGGTATTTAACACAGTGACACGGCATGGAACACACATGACAATTAGCTGGACAGCTTGTGCGAAACTGCCGCAGATAACATCCACCGCATTATAAACAATGTCACAATTTTTTGATATGGCATTTGAGAAAATACCCAATAAAAACACGAAACTGATTAAGCAAGTCTCACTGCCAATCAAACTTCAGAAAGTTAGAAGAAAGAATATATTTTTTTTTGGTAATCTTGATTATTTTGAAATGAATATTTTATAAATTCAAAACCATTTCAAAATGATTGCACGTAGCTATCTTAATACTGTCTCGCATGTCAATATCATAAAACAATCCAGAAAGATTGGAAACGTTGCTCAATAGGTTAAGTTGCTGAAATGCATTCTGTTGTAAGCGCACATTGCAATACACTGATTCATTTATAACGGGCCCCACATTGCACATGCATCATGCGAATCTACCATTCCTTGTAGGACCTCATTGACAACCTCACGCAGGGGAATGTCCCTACCTTACATCACGTGATGTAAATCTATACAAAATCATGCACAATTTTGTAATCTATCTATTAATGCTTTAGCCAAAGTCCAATTTTAAATCATTATCAAAAGTATTGCTCACTCCTAAGACGGTCTATAAATGAAACTGATATCAAAAAAAGAATTATTAGATATACATTTTTCTTAATACCTTTTTATAAAAGCAAAAGGTAACTAATGATCAGTATTAGTCTCCTGTTGTTGTGGCACATAAAGTTTTTGTTGTTATGACAAATAAATACTAATTTACATTCGACGTATCCTTCTGTGATTGGTTGATGTATGGCGTGTTGCGCTCGCGCCACCATATTGCATGAGACCATTGAGTAATCACTAATGTGGATCCTTATCGCTTATCGTAACAAACAACCTGAACAATTTCATCATCCTATTTCCATTCTATAGATCTGAAGATAATTTTTTTATACTTTATAGCTACTCCCGCGCGGTTTTAGTCGCTGCTTGGCTCCACTTGATTGTAGCGTAATGTTTTATATCCTATAGCACTCAGGAACGTTATAGCTATCTATCAGTGAAAGAATTTTGGAAATCCGACCAGCGGTTCCAAAGGTTACCCCCTACATACAAACTCACAAATATACAAATTTTACCTCTTTATAATATTAGTATAGATTTAACTGTTTCTCGTGAGAACTATTAAAAGTTTCTGCATAGTACACACATCACAGAACTCATGTCCTATAAAATCTTATATGGTGTATATGAAAACGACCTCTGGTGTATGAATATTGAACAAAGTACTGCGATACAGCGGTCTCTTCGACCGCATGTTTGTGGTTACTACAACATCGTCTACGGTCTTAGGCGATTGAAGTTAGGGTTAGCGCTAGAAATGGTTTTAATGGCAACAGTACCATAGTGAATTATAATTACGAAGTTTTATTGCTCGGATCCAGTATTGTTTAAAAACTTCCCTAACCTTGTTCTTGAATTGAGCCCCTGTCTGCCCTTGATAACCAGTCTCGTTAGCATTCCAGTGCGTATAAATAATGAGAGGTCTCGAGCAGGTCTTATTAAAATCTTTTGAAAAAGTTCAGGTTTTATACAGCTCTCGTTTTAAGTCCCGCAGATGTCTTAAGAGTACTTCAGGAACTGCGTACTACAGAATACAAGTTTTTATTGGTTTGTCTAACTGTTGTGACTTTGATTGGATTTTTTTTTAATTTTAAACGCGTAAGTCTTGCTGAATTAATTCCTATTACACTCGCAAGGTCAAAATTGTACCTGGGTGTATAACACAGACAAATCTTAGACGCCGTTTGTTAAGCGGTCAAGTTTTTATTAATATTAGCTCCAGTTTTTATAAGTGTTCTAAATATCCGTGATGCCATAATCGAGGCGCCATAATACCGAAGTGTTTGTTCTGTTGGTCCACAAACGTAAAGGTAAAGACCGTAGAGTTGATTAGCACACATTGGCCGCAACCGTCGGAGATGTCACATCCATATGACATTCAACACTCACCTCTCCGTTATCGAATTAGATTATTGTTATTGTTCAAGTGGCTGCTTTATTTATAGATAAGATTGTCATCATTATTGTGAGAAAATTCAATTTTGATAACATGTTTTATGCTTGTATCGTATCACTAAGTGAATATTCCCAAACGTTTCAAGTATCTCCTCGTCCTCAGGGCTCGTTTACCTTCAAATAGTCGTTAGTTTCCAGAAAGTAATTAGGCTTGCAACAGGCATGCGCTTACATATTCAGTAGTTAGTGGGTCGGTGTGGGTTGCACTGGGGGTGTAGCAGGGTGACGCATGCGCGGGACAGGTCACGGCCAGCGACGCTGCGGCCCCAGTTGCATCCGCTGCATGACACTGACCTCGTATAGCTGAGAGGAAAGTTTGCGATTGTCTTATCTAATTGAATGCTTTTATTGTGTGAAATGTATGTAGGTTACAATGTATTAAACTCTACACTTTATTTTGGTTACTATGCGTTGATTATGTCTCAAAAGCTGTTCCTTTATTCCAGACATTTACGTAACTAATACAGACATTTTTAATATAAAATACAACGTACATAAGATGATCAGTATTATTATATTTCTTACAATACAAACACCCTGCTCACTTACTTCCTCCTACGCAAGTTCCTTGGTGGTTTCAGTTACAATTGTACTTGTACTGGGGTATTTAACTCCCACGCGGCCTAAATAATGTTCTGTTTTTTCGCTCATTTCGACCTTTCCATCGTGTCACAAAATCTTTAAGTTAAATAACAGTAATATTTGAAATATGACTTGAATCGCTCCAAGATGTCTCCTGTTTCGTTAATTCTATTCATAGTACTTAGTAGAGACGTTTTTCTACAAATTACACTAATATCCAGTAGGACAAAAAGATGAAAAATAATATAACTCCATTTCGCAGATTTCCATAAACCGGGCACTGATCCAAAGTCTGTTACATCGAATTTCTTGTTTAAATCAATAAAAATACTGAGTTTGATAAAGTGCGCCAAGTCGCGCAGACATCGTGGAAACGCAATCCATTTAAAACAAGACTAATAACAATTTTGATAAGCATTGTTAAAGAAACAGACTGCAATGTTCTCTCTTGAGTGGCGTAAGGACTTTATACTAAAAAGGGTGTCTGTCTGTACTCCGTAGCCTCTATAAAAACCGACGCTTGTTCCTCGCACATGTTGCTTTTTATGGTAAACGCCCGGTCTCTTAGCACGACTGACCTTAAAATTGCTCGCATACACGCTCAAAAAAGATCTTCAACCTTAATTTAATGGAATAAGGTTCTTACTAATGCGGCTAATTTTTATTTTATCCTGCTAGCACTGTTGCATTTATTTAAAGTGTCAGAATTAAACGGTTATTTAATAAGGCAAGCCTTTTGCACTTAACAGTCTCATTGGTGACACTCCAATATATTTCCTTGTTTAAAACCACTTTACGTATAGTTTCTTTAAAAGACAATTTATTAAGAGGTCATTTATGTTGCGGACGCTACAGTATGTCGCCAGAAATTTAATATAGAACAAGGTGAATGCGCTGTGAGTGGCTAATGAAATTTAGTGGGACGTCACTTGAATTTAGGATAACTTTTATAACTTATTCGTTCAGTATAAAATCGAGTTAGTTCTCATTATTAATAAAGAAAGTGACCAAGGACTTTTAAAAGATAGAAAAAAGGATACTTCGGCTCATTTTTAATTCATTGTGCTTTACAAGAAGACAGTATGGAATAGCTTGCGTAAATAAGACCAAGGCAAACACTACCATTACCGACATGTATACCTTGAGCCCTGAGCTGATAAAGATATATATTTTTATTCAGCCGTAATGAGGGAATTGTTATTTATTGTTCTATGGCAGTCACGTCTGAGGTTACAAAGGTTGACAGTAAACTTGACGTTTATTCGCTGTTTGATGAGACATGGCCTTTCGCCTATGTCTCAGGTAATGTTTTTTCTATGATTTGCCATAAATAGCAGGGGTCTGACCTAACAAACGCAACTTAAACAAAAAATATCGGAGCTATGACGCCACACATACCTTTTTTGGCCTATGCGGAGCTTAAGTTAGGCTTCTTAAAGTAGGTATTATTATTATTCGGTATTATTCGGTTTGCTATTGTGACTAGTATTGACTGACTGCGGGAGTAAAAAATAACAGACTTTTTATTCTGTATATCATACTAAAGGGTCATATCGTTTGTTCTCAGGCCAGAGTCATGGTGGGTATCAGCAGTGCTCAAGACCATCCGCGCAGTCGCGTTGGTCTTCGACATCCTCACCTTCCCAGTACACCTCATAGTCCAGAGGCCATGGAGGAGACGAGCGCTCTCCAGACGAATCAAGGTAAGGGCAATGGTCTCATTTGTTCTAGACAAGTTTTTGTCTAAATTGATTAACTAACTAGATTTGGGTTTCGTCTACACATGGATTGTATTTTGTAGGATGCTCGATATCTCCTTCAATCAAACTCTGTAGAGATGGATCTTAAAAAAATGTGAGATTTCCTAGTCTTAAGTCTAAATGTTAAACAAACCAAGAAGTAACGTCAGAAATGTGTTTGGTCCTAGACTAATTTTGCTTAGCGGCCTCAAAAATCCCAACATGCAACTCTCATATTGTATTCATAATTGAACAAGCCAAGTTCAGACGTGACAACTTCTGAGATCACGGGAGTCGCACGATTATTTTATTATTCGGAACTCTAAACTTTGATTAAATCATGACAAGAATTTATTCGTTCGTCGAAAATTAAGAAAACCTTTTGTGCCTTTGCCAAAACTGAAGAATCTGAGTTTCAATGTTAGTAACGAAGTTGTTGTAGCATCAATGATGAGTGCTCTGTGCTGTATTCCACGTTATGTCACGCGAGCCGCAGACATTGTCTAACAAACCCATTGTAGTTGTTATTTTCGTTTGACCTGTTTTCAAATTCCCCAACTCCCACGTCTGTTAGCGATGATGGTCGTCCAAAATTGCATTTGCAAACGAAAATCCTTTTATCATAACACGTAATGGTTTTACGCGAACATTTCTGCTGCTGTTTATTATGTAAAATAAGATGCTGCATATTAATATTTATATCAAAGTTCGTTTGCTTAATGACAACAAATTGTTGGAAATTCAATAGCTGACTATAACTCACGTTTGAATAATACTGAACTATGCTCGGCGGTCATAAATTACGCCTTAGCACTTAACTCTGCTGAAGCTGACCTTTAAGATTGATGGTGTATACTTTATGAAGTCTCTACTCTAACTGGGTGCCTGGTTTCGTCTAAATAACAGCGAAACCTTTAAACGCTTTTTTACGACTAGTGATCGACAAATCAATAGAGACTAACTACAAAGAATGAACCTAAAAATATATCTTTAACGTTATGCGTAATAAGGTCTTTTATTTGTCACGTATTAACGAACATACTCAAACCAGGTTAATTACCAACTCGGCTTGCCTAGACACAAACACAACGCTAACTTTCTCTCATATATTGCCATAAGGCTGAATTTCCCTCCATTTATTCCAGGCCCGTATAATCCAAACCACACAGAACAGCATCACAGTTCGATCAGTGTCGTCTCCGTGTGATCTGCACTTGCGCCTGGTCCGCGATGGAGTCACCTCCATGGAGAGCATGCTGAGGGCCGCGGCCGCGCGCTGGGCTGACCGTCCTTGTCTCGGCACTCGTACCGTGCTCAGCGAGGAGGATGAGCCGCAGCCGAACGGACGGGTCTTCAAGAAGGTATGACAGTGGTTGATGACAATTTGCACCATGATGTGTTCATCACATGAGCTTATCTACATCTAAGATTGAATGAAATGATTTAAATTATAGTTTTATGCTGACTTGACTACTAAGCAATGGTTTTATCATTTAGGCATTATATTTGTCAGGAAAAACTTAGAATAGATAAGTGTGGTAAAAGTCGGTCAATCATATCACATCAATTGATGTGATTGATAGGTTCTCAATAACTTTGCCATTGAGCGTGTGAGAGAAGCCCGATGGTGCACAAATGGCTGATGACTCAACCATATAATGACAACACCTGCTATTTTTCCCTTAAAAGCAATTGCATAATAACAAATAGCTGATTCGTTAACTTTGTAATGTAGGTTGAATTGCATTTTTCCCTGAATGTATACCTTTAAGTTATAACATTATAGAAATAAATGGATTTTTAGAAATTAGCATGAATTAGTCGGGCTAAAGGACAGTGTCGCAAATTCTACGAAAACAGAACCTGTCTATTTGTAGTATTGATTTTTCTACTTTCCTCTAAAATATTATAAATGCAGGATGATAATGATACCTATATTTTTTCTTTAATCAAACCTCCACTTGTGCCATTTATTTACAATATGGTTAATGTACTATAATTGTTACAGTTCAACATGGGCGAGTACGTGTGGCGTACATACGTGGACGTGGAGAAGGAGGCGCGCCACTTCGGCGCCGGACTGCGCGAGCTCGGCTGCCAGCCGCGCCAGAACATCGTCATGTTCGCTGAGACGCGCGCCGAGTGGATGATCGCCGCGCATGGTTGCTTCAAGCAGAGCATTCCTGGTGAGGGAATTACTTAAACTTTGCTACCGTAAAACACAGTGAATAGAATGTTGGCAAATTTTCCGTTAGTATTTGGTGCTTTCATAGCAAGTTTATTTAACAAATATTACACCATGTCAATGAGTGGTATGCAAAAAGTATATTTTTCTACTGCCTTTGATGTTATATACCACTATTTGGAAGGACCGTGTGTAGGCCTAATTAAATCCTATAGCAAAATGCCTGGCTTGCTTTATTTTAAGCCATAAGGGACTGCTCCAAGTTAACCAACCAAACGAAGGGCGTAACATGCGAGAAACGCTGTAACGCTTCGATCCAGTTAACGTTACGCAAATTCGCACAAAGCATTCTAACCGGAGATAGTTTATGTACCATAGTTGCTAGTATTCTAGTTTTATATTAATACACGAATATTGTCATAAGATTTTAGTCTAATCTTACTATAACCTGGTTTCCAGTCGTAACAATCTACGCTACCCTGGGTGACGAAGCGATAGCGCACGGTATCAACGAGACAGATGTATCTACTGTGATCACCACCTACGACCTTCTGCCTAAGTTCAAGAAGATCCTGGCCAAGACGCCCAAGGTAGACACCATCATCTACATGGAAGACCAGCTCAAGAGCATCGAAAGGGAGGGGTACAAACAAGGCATTAAGATTATCGGATACAAGGATGTTGTGGCGAAGGGAGCTGCGTCTAAAATTGGTGAGTTTTTTTATGATCCTACTACTTCTGTTATTTGGAAAGTTTTAAAAGTGCATGTAAACTTAATGTGTAGCATAGTATAGGTATACTGCAAAATTAAAACTAAATAAAAAACTCTTCATTCCTCAGAACCGGTCCCACCGTCCCCATCAGACACGGCCATCATTATGTACACGTCAGGCTCGACGGGTGTGCCGAAGGGGGTGATCCTGTCCCACCGCAATATGTTGGCTACTCTCAAGGCTTTCGCCGACGCCATGCCTATCTACGACGGAGACATTCTTATGGGATTCCTGCCACTCGCACACGTATTCGAACTGCTTGCTGAGAACCTTTGCATGATTGGAGGTGAGGATACTAGCTGATAACTATTCTGTTGAGGAGCTGATAGGTTTAAGCCCAACTACATAGTTACAACTTTCCGCTGTTATTAATATTAAAGCTTAAGTTATTTAATTTTAAACTGAATAACAGTAGCTTATATATTTCCACTGGTGTTAGTGACAAGTCTTGCATACTTTATCTACAGTTTTGATAAGGAAAAATATATTATTTAAGCACTCTTTTCTCCATTAAGTGCCACAATAACTGTAAAAGTGGTTTATCTCAATTGCACGAACATAAACTCGTAAACACAGTATTTATGACACGTTTATATCATGTTTATGTTTGTATTATCATGCTATTGTTCTTTAAACAATGTGTTATAATGTTCTTCATTATAACAAGTGCTGATTGTTAATATAAAGTTGTTATGAAATGCAAAATGCAAATAACTTTCTAAGAAATCGCTAGACAGATGAGCATTATTTAAATGCTATGTACTTTTAGGCGAATTTGTATCTTGTCACATTAAACACAACATAATTTAAAATCAAAAGCGTTAATTATTTTGAAACGTCAAAATAGAATTGCTACATTGGTCTGTTCGTTGGTGAAACTAGGTACTTATAATTTTAATCCTTGTGGACTAAAAGTAAGATCAATGATTACAGGAGTTCCCATCGGCTACTCTACTCCACTCACCATGTTGGACACATCAAGCAAGATCATGAAGGGCACTAAGGGAGACGCCACTATTTTGCAGCCCACTTGCATCACTACTGTACCGGTAAGATACCTGATATTAACATTTTTACTTCAGAATATATTTGGTAAAGATGTCTTGTAGCATATGTTTTTGCTCGATCCTTTAAGCGTAGTATATCAAATGAAATTAAAAAGCGTTTATTCGTAGTAACAGTAAATTCTCATAAATATTACTTCTATCAAACTTTGAAGCAGTTTATGACATAAATATATTATGTTACATTCTCTTTTAATGTGGATTTAAACTAGCTGTGTGCTAAGTAAAATACTGGTAGTTGATTTAATTTTAAACGAATTGTAATAAAAGTAAATATTGTTTTGTAAATAGGCGAGAATTGGCACTTTTAAGATATTTAATTTTATTTGGAAATTTAATTTAAGGTTTATTTGTAATTTTATGAATTGGTAACTTATAGTTATGTTATTGTATTTTTCAGTTGATTATGGACCGTATCAGCAAGGGTATCACGGACAAGGTGTCGCGTAGTGGAGAGTTCGCGAGTGCATTCTTCAAGTGGGCTTACACGTACAAGCAGACCTGGATGCGACGTGGATACGACACGCCTCTCCTTAACAAATTGGTGAGTTGTTGTTTGTGATATTGAGATTGAGATATTTAAGTAGTGTTAGTTGTATGTCTGGTATAATTTTACAGAATGATATATTGCTCAATGGAAGTATATAGTATTGAATAGTCGTGGCTGTTTTTTTTTGTCATGAGAAAATCTTGTAGTATTCTCTCGCTGCGGGTGAGGCGAGAGTCGTGGCTGATAGAGTGTGTGTGTAGATGTTCGCCCGCATCCGCGGTCTGCTGGGCGGGCGCGTGCGCATGATGATCTCTGGCGGCGCGCCGCTGTCGCCGGACACGCACGCGCAGGTGCGCATCTGCCTGTGCTGCTCCGTGGTGGCCGGCTACGGGCTCACCGAGACCACGTCCTGCGCCACCGTCATGGACCCGCACGACCGCTCCACCGGACGCGTCGGCGCGCCCACCTCCGGCACCGACGTCAGGCTGCTCGACTGGGACGAGGGCGGCTACAGGGTCGACAACAAGCCCTACCCCCAGGTACACAGCTTTTACAGACTTGCCTATATTCATCTAGTTTTTGCATTGCACTGCAATATGCTACGGGTCACTCATAACATCTGTTTGTATGATCCAAAAACGTAAAATTGTATGATTGTATCAGTATCCGTGCGATGTGATAATTGTATCAAGCAATTTTACATTTTTCACACCCATAACACAGTTAAGTCCTAGTGTAAAACAACTTAATTAAAAAAAAGAAAGACAGTCACATCAAATATTATAATATACCCGACGAAAAAATGATTTTACGACGACTCTCTGTTTAACTTATTTGAATATACCCTTTCCTTTGTAATCATAAAGTCATTACAACAAATAACCGATATTATGTGATTCCAGGGTGAAATTGTAATTGGAGGCGATTGTGTAGCAGAAGGATACTACAAGAACCCAGAAAAGACCAAGGAAGAGTTCATCGACGCCGAAGGCAGGCGTTGGTTCAAATCTGGAGACATTGGAGAACTACATCACGATGGATGCATTAAAATTATCGGTAAGGGAAAAGTCACATACCAGTCATTCCGATCATAGCGCACGCTACAATCTCGTTAGTTTGTACGTTTTGCTGAATTTAAGGAAAAAACATAGAATAACAAAATTGTATTGACCCTTAGACCGCAAGAAGGACCTGGTGAAGCTGCAGGCGGGCGAGTACGTGTCGCTGGGCAAGGTGGAGGCGGAGCTGAAGACGTGCCCCATCGTGGAGAACATCTGCGTGTACGGCGACAGCTCCAAGTGCTACACCGTGGCGCTGCTCGTGCCCCATCCGCTGCATCTGGCCGAGCTCGCCGCGCGCCTCGGCCTGCCCGACATGGACTTCGACGCGCTCTGCCAGAACCCCACCGTCGAGAAGGCCGTCGTCAAGGAGCTCGCCGACCATGCCAGGAAGTGTACGTCTCTTTCCTTCACGTCATTACACGATATCTAATTATTTATATATCAAATAGACACACGTTTCTAAATATGCTTTGTATTCTAGGCGGTTTGGAGAAATTCGAAGTACCTGCAGCGGTGAAACTGGTGACGGAAGTGTGGTCCCCCGACATGGGTTTGGTGACGGCGGCGTTCAAGATCAAGCGGAAAGACATCCAGGAGCGGTACAAGGAGGACATCAAGCGCATGTACGCGTCGTGAGCTGTGAGCGCGTCCGTACCTTAGTCTCGTTAAGTCGTGTACATATTTGTGTCTTACGTCTAAATATCGTAGTGTGTATTATTGTAATACTAAATTTTCGCTTGTGCGCCTGCGGACGGATGATCGTATCTTTTATGTATAAAAAGTAAGTACACCGTTTGACTGGTCAAACGCTTCTGTTGAGATTCTTTGTGTAAATTTAAAATTATGTAGATCTGAAGTGGAGAGTGCGCTGTGCGTGATTGGAAAGTAAATTTTACGTCATTATTATAGAATTCCTCGGATATCGTGTAGATATTGGCCTAGCATCTCATGTGTAGATAGCTATTGTCCCTACCATGAAACTCGTACATTTGTTCCTACGTGTTTTTAAAAGACAAAATAAATGTTTCGTGGTCGGGACGAAACGTCGCTAGACTAAGATAATTGTATTAGTACTTAGGGGGATCGGGGATAGTGTTTGCAATGTAATAATAATAATTTTGCAATAAATTCATTTTTGTTCATCTGTTTATTTGTATTATAATAATGAAGATGACTCATTTGAGAAATGAGTGTTCATGGCGAGCTCATTGTGTTGCATAATGTTAGCAGAATGATATGTTTTAATGTATTAATGTAGTACTGTTATGTTGACACATGATGCATTAGTACAAGCATAATAAAACATTCATGAATATTTCTAGGTTTACGCTAAGAAAATATACTTACTCCACAAATATCATGTAAACATTTTATCATTGTACGACTACATAATTCGTTAAAGTTTTAGGTAGTAACAAAATGTGTGCGTGTCAACATAATTAGGTCGGATTATAAATTTGTTGATTAGTTTTTATTGTTTTGTAAATCATGGCTAAAGTTGTTTAGCGTCTCTGTAGCGCCGAGAGGGGTCGGGAGGGAGCTAGTCAATCTTACTATACAATGTTACAGCATTTTAACCGTCGCCCGCATTTCGCTGAGCATTTACATTTACATACATTTAATATAAACCTTTTAAAATAAATTTATTAATGTAATCAATGTTACCTGAACAAACGTTAAATTCCATTGATGTATTTAAATGTGAGACCTCGAGTTTAACTGTATGGTATCGTTATATTTTTCGATGTAATCATATTATAATCATTGAAATGATCTTAATATTATCATCAGTGTACTGTTGTAGATGTTTGCTCAGTTCACGTGACTGTAACTTTGTGTTTGAAATTCTTAAGCATTGCAATGAAAACCAATTTTGTATTATTTATTGAATAAATGTTAATAAAATCAGTATTCGCTGTTCTTTCTTGATGTCATACCTATCTTATCTATAAAAGGAGATACCTCTTTGGGATTTGATTAAGACAGTATCGAATTTGTAGATAGAAACTGAAATTGTCAATGAAACGTACCATCATAAATCGATCATGAACAGCCAAAAAACTCTTTCGAGCCTCAATAGAGATTCATAATTATCAACATTTCAGCCACAAATGTCCCATTTACCACTGGATAATGCCTTCCCTTAGTGACTTCCGGAATGGCCTGTTCGAAAAAACCTGCATCCACTCCTTGCGACCCCCTTATCAGCTTGCTAATCCGATGGGCTATGCCAGCAGAAAGTGTCGTACGATCCGCAAGCGAACTTCTTCCCATTTCTGAATCGATCTCGCAATCAAACACCGAGCATAGCCTGTAAATGGACTGTAAATTTTCTCGTGAAACCCATAGTAAAAGACCATGTATTCAGTTGCAGATCTGGTTGGTAACACATTGTAGATCTTGTGGCTCAATAAAGCAACGGCCGTGCAACATCTACTCGTCTAGATTTGATTAATTCTACGAGTAAGCACATACATATTGTTGGGCATTCGTTTTTCCTTTTTTTAACAGCCGAAGTATTCGAATGCGTCTTTTTGCAGAGTGAATGGGAGAAGTACTAATAGATAAATAGTACTATAATGGGATGGGGTATTTTGGCTAATTGAGGTTTGAATCTGGTCGAGCGATGAGCTATCCGATACGGTGACCGTCGAGCATCTTGCGATCCTCCTTAGCTAGCATGAGTACCTCGCAGAAGGAGGAGTCGATTTCCTCGTTCCTCTATCCCTGGCCCTGGAAGCCGGACGTGAGACTTTTACCTATTGCTTCCCAGGAGACATTCCCCTTCTCATTCAGATGGTTGTCGTAGTGACGAAAACCAGCTGAATCTGAAACCTACCTACTAGATACCTACCGAGACTTTCGAATGCGGTAAGTGGGGGCCTCATCGTTGCGACAACAGCCGTGTATGGTGCCAATATACCTTTGGTTGGAGGACTCATGGTTAGTGTTGTAGTTTAACAAGATCCCAATTCGAATCAACGCCTTTACTCATGAGAATCCTCATCCGCAAAGGGATTGTTGATAACTTATCTTGTCCAGAAACTGGTTGGTAGTAATCTTTTTAGCCAGCAGGAAATCGCAAAATGATTCCTCTCGTCCTTAGTATCAGGCTTTTAATGACTTAAGTTTACCCCGTTAGTACCCTGCGTAACACGGACGTTCAAAATGACAAAAAAAGTCAAAAATCATTTATTCCAATTAGACCCATACAGGCACTTTTGAACGTCAAATAAAATTTTGAAGATATCAAAAAAAAAAAAAATCACATATTTTAATTAGACCACAGTAGGCACTTTTGAACGTCAAGCAAGCAAAAAGGAAAAAAGTATATATAACAAGAGCTTTAAAATTAAGCGTGTCAGTCTGTCCGTCTGTCCTCTAGTGAAGCTATTTGCTCGTTCCAAAGTGTAGATTCCTATGGAGAAGAACGAGCAAGAAACTCCATGGTTACTCTTTTTCAATCAGTTTTACAATACATTTCTTTGTTACATCATTTAGTCGGTTCTGATATGTGAGAACAATGTAACACTAATGTTCAGGCAAAAAGTACGAAAAAGAAGTGAACCTCAAGGACAACATATTTAGACAGCCTGGAGATGACCAGTCCCAATAGGCGGCGCCCGTTCACGAACATGACACGTACACCAGCACCGCCCAACTCAACCATATTATAGGGAATTGGACGATCCAGTGCCCGTGCCACCGCCAATGAGACCTCTGAGTGAGCATGACAGCTCCCAGCCGACACAAGTACCTATATTCTACAAGTCTTACTTAATTATAATAGGTTACAGGGCACTCACATTTACAAAATCTTAGAAGTTCATCAACAATTAACAATAGTGTACAATTTAATAATTAAAATAAAAAAAAATACTCTAAACATCCTGTGGAGTAGGACCAGCTAGCCTCCAAGCATTTTTATCTTGTATATAATCATTTAGTTTGTAGTATGCTAGTTTACATAAATGTTTCTTTATACATAATTTAAATTTGCTTTCATTTAAATTTTGAATTTCAACTGGGATTTTATTATAACATTTAACACAGAAACCCAGGAATGACTTATGCACTTTTGCCAATCTAAATTAAGGCTGACTCAATCTATTCCTATGTCTAGTATGATAATCATGTTTGTCAGATACCTTTACAAATAAGTGTAGGTTTTTCCTAACATACATAATGTTTTCATAAATAAATTGACTCGGTACGGTCAGAATGTTGATCTCTTTAAACTTTTCTCTGAGAGATTCGCGACGACCTAAGTTATATATAGCTCTGACGGCACGCTTTTGCAAGATAAAGATAGACTCAACGTCAGATGCCTGTCCCCACAACAGAATTCCATACGACATGATGCTGTGAAAGTAGCTAAAGTACACTAGTCTTGCCGTGCCGACATCGGTTAGCTGACGGATCTTCCAGACAGCATAAGCTGCAGAGCTCAATCGTCCTGCTAGAGACCTGATGTGGGGCCCCCATTGCAACTTCTCATCTACAGTGGTCCCCAGGAAAGTAGTCTCTTTTACAAATTCTAGTTTCTGATCATTTAATAATATATCATCACATACGACATGGCATGCGGCATCGCATTTGACCTCTGAGTTTGTTTCGGCATTTCTTCTCAGAGTAGTCAGATAGGAAATGCCGGCTTCATCTAGTTTTTCACATATAATTTGACGTGTAAAAGTGCCGTTTTATGGCCTATTTGCAAAAATAAATTCATTGTTTCATTGTTACGTTATTTTTAACATTTGGTAAAATAAATCTAATGCATTTAGTCTTTTTATCATTTAGTAATAAGTTGTTTATTGTAAACCAATTTTGAACCTTCATTAAGGCATTATTAACTTCGTCATATTTGTTTGTTCGTCTATTTATTTTAAAAATCAATGAAGTGTCATCAGCGAATAATACCATATGCGGTTCATTTTGGAACATATGGGGCAGGTCATTTACATAAACTAAAAATAGAAAAGGACCTAATATTGAGCCCTGCGGTACGCCCATAGATACGCTAGCACCCAGTGAGTTAACTTTGTTGACTTGTACTTTAATTTTTCTTTCTTGAAGGTATGATTTCATTAAATCTAGGGATACCCCCCGAATGCCGTAGTGTTCTAGCTTCAGTAACAGCGTCTCGTGCTCAACACAGTCGAATGCCTTTGAAAGGTCGCAAAATATTCCGATGGCATCCTGTGCTTTTTCCCACGAGTTGAAAACTTGTTTTATAAGTGATACTCCTGCGTCCGTAGTGCAACGTCCTTTGGTAACCCAAAACAATTCGTGTTAAAGTGACGCAGCATTTGAGTCTACATCAACCTTTCGAACACTTTACTGAGCACTGGCAAAATAGAGACCGGCCTATAGTTATTAGGTTCTGTACTATCACCTGATTTAAATAATGGAACTACTTTACTATGTTTCATTAAATCCGGGAAAACCCCTTGATCTACACTTTTATTAAAAATGAAAGTTAAGTGTGGCGCAATTGTCTCTATAAACGACCTGCACACTCGAACAGACATTCCCCAAAGATCTTCAGTTGACTTTACTTTGATCTCATTGAACGCCTTTATTACTGCCTGGGGGGTTGTGTATTGAAAGCTAAAGTCAGAAGGACATTCTTTGACGTTACCCCTGAGAAGCTCGACAGAAAGTGCTGGAGATGATTTTAACGTTTCCGTAGTTTTAAGAGGAATATTTTTAAAGAATCTTTCGAATTCCTGGGCAACTGACGAATTTGAACTAGTAAATCCCTTTTCGGTTTTTAAATTAAATTCAGTGTTTTGTGATTTATTTCTACCTGTTTCTTTATTAATTATATTCCAGGTAGCTTTTATTTTGTTTTCCGCGGTCCTGATTTTATTACTAATGTGGAGCGACTTAGCATGCTTACATACTATTTTAAATATTTTTGAATATTTGGAAACATGTCTGCGAAAAGCCTCGCTACTATTAAATGGTTTCAGGCCGTATAGCTCAAATAACCTGTCTCTACTTATACGAATACCTGGTGTAGCCCAGTCACAGAATACAAATTTACACTGAACATTTTTACGTTTTAAAGGAAATAGTTTATCGAATTGTATTTTTATAAGGGATAATAAATTAGCATATATCTCACTCGGGCAATTATTGTCTTGTACTTGGCTGCATAATTCATGTTTTAGCTTACTATTTAATGAATAAATTTTTTTGTACGTGATTTGTCTAAACATTATTTCCTTTTTTGGCACAGTTGTTATAGTATTAAAGTTAACTGTGAGCCCACTGTGATCAGATGGTAATCTATTTACAATTTCACTTTGTAAATAATCACAGTTACAGAAAATATTATCTATACAAGTTGCCGAGGTGGATGTTACTCGGGTGGGCTCAAGGAAAACATTAGACAAATCAAATGATTGAAAGAGACTTAACAAGTTTGTACAATGAGAATTGTTTTCTAAGAGATCAACATTAAAATCGCCACATACTATTGTACATTTACTACTAGAACATGGTTTCCGCAGTACATCTTCCATTACAGAGCGAAAAATATTTAGATTCTGTATGTTAGGAGGCCTATAAACACATACTACATATCGTGTCAGTCAGTCGGTTAGTCCTCTTTGTGAAGCTATTTGCTCGTTCCAAAGTGTAGATTCCGATGGAGAAGAACAAGCAAGAAACTCCATGGTTACTCTTTTTAAATCAGTTTCACATACAGATTCCTTTTACAAACAGTTGGTTCAATTATGTAAGAACAGTGTAACACGCAGTGTAACAGTGATTTTCATCTTATTCACGATTATTAGGAACTCGACTTGATGGGAAACTCAGCAGAATACTCGATAATCTCATCGAGTATTATGACATCTGTCATCGAACATTCGTTCATAATCATGAGTGGAATGATTATTTAC